CATCACATCACCACTACGGATCAAAGGTTAAAGGTCAGGTTAAGAAGTTAAAACGACAAACGTGCACATCGTATGAAAATAATGTAAGTGAATAACAGGCATCATAAACATTTGCAACGTGACAGACTGGAATATCTTCAACAGCAGGACCATTTAGCCATCATCATTATTAACTTTTACCGTATGTTATCAATATATATATATATATATACATATAGCAATATATATATATATATATATATATATATAATTTATATAACAAACGAAACGATAACCATTTTGATATGATCATTTTCAAGAGAAATTCCTTCAATGCTATGAATACTTATCACGAATGGGATGATAATGTTGTTATTAATTAGAGGATTATCGTCGCTGTTGCCTAACAATCCTACTGTAGTTAGGGCGGTACTGAAGTCTGATTTCTCCCTGCAAATTGTTAGGCGGGATTGTTGGGTGCGGTTCAATTCTTCTACAAATGCATCCATTCTTTTATTTTTTGGAGTTTGATTGACGATATTCTGAGTTATTTTAATATTTATAATTAAAGTATATAATCTGTATTGTCATTAATACAATTAATTAATATTATTCTACATTCCATTGCATGTTTTAATGTTGGGAATCGGAATTTTTTTGTTTTCTTTTCGTAGGATAGGATCTGATAACTATAAGTTAATTTAGGTTTTATTAAAATTTAGCAAAATATTAATAAATGGCTAATATAATATTCAAAATAATTACAAAAATAAAAATGAATATAACAAATAATAATAAAAAAAATGATTATATTATTCTTATTTTCAAGTTTTTCAATCGCGAGCACCGATAAAAAATTGTTTGGTTGTCACGTCGTCATAGCAACTAGGTTTTTAAATAGTGATGTACCAGTAACATGAATATTGTAGTGATGTACCTATATAATATATATATACAAACAAATTTGTATATGTATATATCTTCACACATACAAATATGTATATGTAAATATACAAACATATACATTTACTTAATTTTTTATATAAATAAATGGAATACGAACAAATAGATGAGATTTTATTTAATATAAATATCAATAATAACGGCAAATGATGAAGATAATGATGGATAACTTATGTGTGTGTGTGTATGTGTGTAATTAATTTTACATATGTTCTGGCCTATATGTGTATCTGTATGTATTAGTTAGATGGATTACATACAATATAAAATAAATAAAGTGTAAGATAAATTAATCATTAATTTAGCTAATTAATTAATTAATTAATTAACTCAAAATAAAACTTATAAATCTCTCTCTTATATAGAACTTTTCCAAAAACTATTTCATTAAAAATTGTTAAAATCATGATCAATAAAACGAAAAGAATTTAAACACCAAAAACAACATTAACGTGTGTAATGATCAATTAACCTTACAATAATTCATCCATTCGATAATACACTCATTCATCCACTCATCCATTTATTCATCCTTTCGTTCATTCAATCGTCTATCCTCAATCATTACAGATCAAATTGTTATACAATATATCATTTTATATACGCAAAGCTAGAAATAAATAAATTCAAAAAGCCAACGAATGATGATGAAACAACAACAACAATAATAATAATTATTATTATATTAATCAAAATAATAACACACACACACACACACACACACACACACACACACACACACACACACACACACACACAAAGTGATTTTAAACAATTTAACCGCATATTAGTACTAATTCTCCACAAACACAATACAATGATAAAGATGCTAATTATTATTATATTACATAAATATGTGTGTATATGTTTGTGTGTGTAGATGTGTGTGTGTATGCGTGCGTGAGAATAGCATGTCTATTACAACCATATATATATATATACATATATATATATATGTATATATATATATATATGTATATATATATATATATATATTTCTGTCTTATTTACCATTTTATTCTTTGACATTTAATTATCATCTTTTCTTCTAGATAAATCTAAATAAAGATATATTTCATATCAAATAGCAAGCTGACAACAACAATATTATACATATATATATATATACATACATATATATATATATATATATATATATATATATATATAAAGAGCAAGTTAAATATATATGAGAATCAAAAATAATTTGAGAACTTGAAACAGCGTGACAATAACAACAATAATATCAATAACAGCAATAACAACAATAACAATAATAATAACAATGATAATAATGATGATGGGGATAATATTGGTGATAGGACAGGTAGAGAAGAATCGCAGTACAAGTGCGGCATAGGTGTAACCTCCCACCCACCACCAGCAGTCACTACGTACAACTACACATACTCCAACAACAACACGTTCTCAACTCCTTTAACCTTTGACCTTTTTATTAAGTACATCCGTATCCGGTGAGTAGATCAGTATCGGTATACACCGACGATACGAACTTCCCGGCGACGATGTGGCTAGTGATCGTGCCGACGATATTCACGATAATGATGCTAATGGTGATGATAATGATGCTGTTGTAGGTGGTAGTGATGATGACGACGACGACGAAGAAGAAGAATGAAGAGGAATGAATGGATAGAAGTACGAGTGAATGAATAAGCAAAGTAAACAAGCGAGACAACAGGTAGAATCATGAATCTGATGAAATATCGAATGAACCAATGAATGGATGAACGAACGAACATATGAATGAAGAAATGAATGAATGAACGAACAGATGAATGAACGAACGAACGAATGATTAATAGATTGAATGAGTAAATACAACTAATTAACAGACTAGCGATTAATAGACTAGTGTACATACCTGTATACGTCCTAATGATGATGCTGATGATGAGGATGAAATGAATGAACGAGTGATCGAAAGAATCGAGTGAAGGAATAAATAAATGAATGAAAAACAATCGAACTCTATTAACCTACCGAACAATCAATCAACCAACCAACCAAACCAAACCAAAACCCACGTAATATAACTTTCTCTATATGACGATTACAAATATACATGAAGACAAATAAAAAATTTAATAAATAAACAACCATAAATTAACATAATGTTCATTTCATCACAAGGCCATTGTAAAAAGTAAGTGGAGTTATTAGATGAATACACGCACACACACACGCACACAAACACACATATATACATACATGCATACAAACACACATACATATATCTAAAAAACTATAAATAATAGTAGCAACAACAAAGTAATCAAACAATGATGTCAAAAACGAAGAATTCGAAAAAAAACATCGAAAAAAAATCAAAAATAAATAAATCAAAGATCATGTATATAAATTTACGTTTCTATCAACAAGAGCGGAAATGTATACAAATTGGTGAGTAACGATAATTACAGAACAAATTAATGTAAACCATCCAATCAACCAAAATATAGAAATGTAAAATCCAAAACAAACAAACAAACATACATACATACATACATACGTACATACATACGTATATACATACATACATACGTACAAACATACATACATACATACATACGTACAAACATACATACATACATACATACGTACATACATACGTATATACATACATACATACGTACATACATACGTATATACATACATACATACGTACATACATACGTATATACATACATACGTACATACATACATACAAACAAACATTGAACATTTAACTCAGAAAACCACTGATATATATATATTAATATATTATATATATATATATATATGTAAAGTAAAAACAAAAATTGAAGAGATATTTAAGATGACTAACCGATAAAATTAAAAAAATAATTCAGTAAAAATGATATAAATGTAAAAAAATAAAAAACGCTTTAATATACACCAACACAAACAAGCACACATACAAATACACACACACACACACACACACACACACACACACACACACACACACACACACACACACAGACAGACAACACAAGCTAACAAATGAATATACAAGCCAGAAACCATAGGTACAACCAGCTAAGTGATTAAAATGCAAAAAATTCAAACTTTGTTGCATGCATATATACATGCATACATACATACGTACTAAACACACACATACTCAACATCAACACACATACAGACGCATATACATTCATTGACCAAGATTTACCTAGTAACTTTAGTTTTGTGTTTCTCTTACATGCGATACTCCAACCAAAGAACGTAACCTCTCTCACGTGTGATGGAAAAACAACTGCTGCACTAGTAAGCCGGAATCAACAGTGGATCATAGCCATCTGATATACTAATCCAAATGTAATACTGGTGAGTGTGTGTGTGTGTGTGTGTGTGTGTGGGCAGAATAATTCAGAATATATTGCTCTGACGGCGACCAAGCTATCGAGAAGACTGTACAAACTGTCGCTATAAAGAATCACATGAAAGAGAAACACAAAACTAAAACCACCAGACAATCCTTGGACCACGATGTCTGTTGAAAACTTACATTACAATAACAGCCATTATTAATTTACGACTAGCCCGAATCAATACTCATAGTACAAAGACATCAGAGAAGTCAAACAGTAAGTTAACTAATGCGGGACATGCTGTGATACATACATTACATACATACATACATACATTACATAAATACATTACATACATACATACATATATCATTGATATATGATAAATTGACTTAGATACAAAACATTATGTAGAAGATGAAATACATAAGATGTATAAATAATTATATAAACTTCCCTTCGTATGCACGCATGAAAAAATAAATGATCAGAATGGTGATGATGATGATGATCAAATTAAATATTTAAAACAATGACATAGATCAATATAATCACGCACACACGCACGCACGCACATATACGCGCACACAACATCAAAACATGATTTAGTGCTTCTTTTTTGTTCTTCTCCTATATAAAATAAATATATAAATATGTACGATGTATAAATCAACAAATAAATAATTAAGCCTCTCTCTCTCTCTCCCTCTCTCTCTCTCTTTAGTTCCAGATTTTGAGGAAGCTGTCCCATGAGCCAGTAGCAATGGCCATGCCATCCTCCGTGACACCCAAACAGCTGACACGATTGTCATGACCTGCCAAAACTCCTGTATGTTTGGTAGTGCGTGCGTGCGTGTGTGTGTGTGTGTGTGTGCGTGCTTGTGTTACATAATAAAACTTCTCCATATTATAAAAAAAAACTAAACTATAAAACAAAAATTAAAAAAACCTCACTACAATGAAATAAATGACAAATTGATAGACCTCCAAAAATTAAAGTTATTTATAACAGCATGAGAACCAAGAGGCACAGCACATCCCTACAAAAACATCCCTAACTCCTAACCTGCCCGCTCCTGTTTGAGGGAGTCCCAGACGTTGCAGTTGAAGTCGTCGTAGCCGGCGAACAGGAGCCTACCACTTTTGGAGAATGCGACCGAAGTTATGCCGCAGATGATGTTGTCATTCGCAAACATGCCTAATGTTGTTGATTGGATTGGATGACAGTAGATCTAATTAGCGTGCGCATAAATTATGACAATGTGGACTGCCGCACACTAGCCAATGTTGGCATGAATTATGATAATACAAAATTACGCCAAAAGCAGACCTATCTCTTGATCAGCGCGAACATCAAACAAACGACACGTGGCATCGTCCGAACCAGTCGTGAAGGCCTGACCACTGGGGAAAAACTGGAGGTGGTGGTGGTTGTGGTGGCGATGATCACGACGACGACGATGATGGTGATGAAAGAAATTAAGAAGAGGAAAACGTTATACAAACAGTTATGGCATTGATGTCAGATTCATGCCCCGTGAATGTGTGTCTGCACATCCCATCCCTGATATCCCACAACTGCGAAAATGAATGAATGAATGAATAAATGAATGGGTAGATAGAAGTTTGGATGAATAGATAAAAGAATGATTGAATGCATGAATGAATGAATGAATGGAGGAGAGAGAAACCTTAGCAGAAGCATCACAGGCACCAGACACGAACGCTCTCATCTCGGGAGAGACTGACAAACTCATGACGTCACCAGTGTGGCCATTGAATGAGGTCGTCTGCTGACCTGTCTCTATGTCCCAGAGGGCGCTATAGTTAAAATAATTATAGTCACAATTAATAATTATAAATATAATGAATAATCACGAAAAAAACATGCACACATGTGCAGACACATACAAACATACACTTACACACACAAATATATATACCAGACATATTTACAAACACATCACAGACACACATACACTCAAACAAACAAACACACACACCAACATACACACACCAACATACCAAGTCATGTCCCCAGAACTAGTAACAATTTGATTATCATCAAGGAATCTACAGCAGGAGAGGTACCCATTGTGTCCAGACAGCTCCCTACTCACTCTTACATTACCTTCCCTATGTATGCGTGTGTTTGTGTGCTTGTGTGTGCGTGTTTGTTTGTGTGTATGAGTACTACCAATGCCAATCCTATCAGTACTTTTACTTCTGTCATTCCACTACTACTAAAAACAACCAGTGTTTAGTCATAAATAGCACTGACCTAGTTTTTAAGCTATAAATAGAACAAATGTTATCCAGTCCCCCGCAGGCCACATAATTACCGGAGGGGGCATAAGCACAGGTCATGACCCAGCTTGACCTCAGTGGAATGGCATGCATCTGTGAGTGATGATGATGATGAGTGATAACGATGAATAAGACAATGCAAAAGATGTGATTGTACCTACCATCTCTCTAAATTTGTCTATTTTTATAATTTAAAAAAATTGCATTGATGTCAACTATTGGAGTGAATACTTTATTGGTAGTAAATCCATCCCAGACAATTAGTTTGCCATCTTGTGACGCTGAGACCAAGTTCCTGATGTTGCAATAAATGAATATATATTTAGAGGATTCAAATTTTCAAAAAATACAAATTGTTTTTGGTAACCTGGAATCGGATGCCCAGTGCATGGCATAAATTTTAGCAAGGTGACCTCTCAATGTACGTCTGGTCCTCATTTGAATTCTTCCAACTGGCTCAATGTTAGCAGCTATCTGGGCCAATGATGTGTCAGCCATTGCTTTCCTTGCATCCTGTAGGAAAAATTTAATGAAATTATTCTACAATTCCGTATTTTGTGGTGTAAATTTAAAACATTAAAACTGACAATACAATGACCATATAATATATTTTCCTTTAATTACACTTTACAGACACCAATCAATATGAGCAAAACAATACAATGGTGGTTACCCTAATTTGGCTTTTTAGCTGTTCAGCTTCTTGTCTCAATGATTCCAATTCGCTCATTTTGTTTTAAGTTTGTTAAATTTCAACTTGATTATTGATCAAAGTATTTGTAATAGTCTGGATCCAAATAAATAAATGAAAGTCTGTCAGCTGTGATGAGGGGTTGGAAAAATATTCAATTTAAAATAAATTTAGTTTTCAATAAAATCAAATCAAAATGAAATAAAAAATAATAAAATTAGTTTAGTTGTTACTAGTAAGTTGCAAAATGGTAAAAATTCATTATAAAAAGCAAAACAAACTCAATTATTTCCAAAAAATAATGCAAGCAACAATTAAAACTATGCAGGTTTCATTAATTTATATTTTCAATAAATGATCAATTACAATTCAACGGGGGAAAAAGTCAAAAAAACGATATTGATTGATCAATGAAATTGAAATTTCAGGCGAATAAAACAAACTTAGCACTAATAATTTTAGCGTAAAAGATAATTTGTGCAAACGACGAATAATTTATCTTAAAAAAATAAACTTCGAACGAGTCGGAAAGCATTAAAAAAATGACTTTTAAATGAACAAACTCTCCCAGACTGCACAACGAAACTTCTAAAAATGGCTACCTCATTTACATTAAATTGACCGGATTGTTGGCTTCTTGGCTTACTTAAGAAGTAGAATGGGATTTGGTTTTAACCAGTTTTAACCATGTACAAATGTATAATATCTATATAATTATATATAGTTGAATATAAAATAATGTACTAATTCTACTTAATTCTATTGTATTTTAACACTATTTTGTTAATCTGAATCATATCCATTATATCCCTGATCTGAATGTGAAAATTGCTGCTGTTTTTCCCGTAAACTACAGTGGTTAAAATATCCCCATTGAATTACGTGTAAAATTACACTACTGCATTTTGTTAAGTCGACAAGGCAGCATAAATACTATAATAAAATATAAATTGTAGGTTTAACACATATAATTAGTTTAACATACGGTGGATGTCACTTAATAGATTAAAACTTGATTCACCAAACTAAATTTATGTCTGGATTTCCATTATCAAATTAAACCTTTTCATGTTTAGGAGATTGAGTACTGATGAATCTAATAAAATTAACTATCAGCTTAATTCATTATAAATAATCAAGAATCGAACTATAGTCTATTGTGGGTTCATCATGTATATAAGTGGGTGTTCTGTGTTACATGTGAGATCAAAATGGTCAGATTTCTCGTGCTTTTTTCCTATTTAGGTAGAAATTTTAGGTAATTTGCAAACTGAAAACTTTATTTACATTTCCATTAACTTTGTTTTCACTTCAAATTTTTGATCATCATTTTTTCTTTTAAATTTTATTTTAGTGGTCTGCAAGTTCAGACATACAGTCCGGTAAAGACGGTTGTGGGTGTTTTGCAGGTTAGTTGAATAATAATGTATTGCTAAAATAATATATAATATTTATTATTATAATATATAATAATGATATTATTAAAAAAATAGATTTATGAGAAGCCTTTAGTAATAATTGGCATGTACTGGTACTCAGTGTTGTGTATGTTTGTGGCATGCTGTTGATCCTTCTGTCTTTGAAGAATGTAAATTGTAAACAGTCTGAACCGAAGAAAAGTGTAATAGACTTTTAATTTTAAAAGCTTCAACCTTCTAACCTTTAAATAAATGAGTGACTGATGAGATTTAGAGTTATCAATTTTTCAATTTGGAATACTAAATTAACAACCTTAATAATTAAGGTTGTTAATTTAGTATTAAATTAAGGCATAATTTAATCTTAATCATATTTTAGAATTGAAATTCATCTACTGCAACTTTTACTAAAACTTTAATTACAAATTTTTATTTATATATAATATATATATATATTATTATGTACTCACACTAAACTAAGTTTTTCATTTCATTTTTTTTTTATTTTAGTATGCCTTCACAAAGTTGGTCCACCAAATTGATTACCCTGGCACCAAGGATCAGGCTGTTAAATTTGTAACTTCAAGTCGAACAGACAGAGGTGTTAGTGCTCTGTGCAACGCTGGCCATGTTGATATCTATTCACCAAAGTAAAAAAAGAAAATGAAATTTTTTCTAATTTTCCTAATTTACTAAAATAACATTCAAAAAATATTTATAGTGAAAAGTAAATTTTTTAACCAATTTTCTAAAGGTTCGAACAAGTTGATGTGGATGAGTTTGCTTTCAATTTAAACATCATCCTGCATAGTTATGAAGAGGATATCTCGTGGGTCTTAATTTTATGTTAATTTATGCAAGTTTTACATAAATTTACTAAAATTTCATGTAAATTCACTATTTTATATTCACAATTTCTCAACAACTAATGGTAATTACATACACAACCCACCTAAAGTTGCACATAATTAGTATTTTTCAGTTCATTTATTTACATTGCTAAACATTATGTTTAAAACACACATATATGACTTAAATATTATGAAATTTAAAAATATAAAGAATATAATTAGCTAACCATTAAATAATAAATAAATATTTTTCAGGATCTTGAGGATGATGAGAGTTCCAGACGATTTTCATAGTAGGTACAATGCACTTAGCAGGTCCTATGTATATAGGGTCTGCTGTTTAGGGAATAGGAATGTACCTGTACCCACAGTAAGCTCTTTGTATTGTTATATAAACGCTGTTATTGCTACAAATGAGATGTAATTTTATACAAGGCCCTTGACGTACCATTGCTAGAAAGACAGACGTGCTTGATCATCAGGTTGGACAGGCCTTCCCTGAGTATTTTTAAAATAATTTTTATAACAATAATTATAATAATAATATTAATAGTTATATCAATTATATCATTAATTATGCTAATATTAACGCTCTTACGCTAAATCGTTATTCTGCCATCTATCTACTCAGACAACAATTAGACATGGAATCAGTACAGAAAGCCGCCCAACTCCTAACTGGCCGACATGATTTCCGTGCATTCACTACCCCGACAAACAGGAGGCTGATAGAAGATGACGCCAGTAACAACAACAACAAGGACGACGATGAAGAATCAGACATTGAAATAGAAAGTGTCAAAGATATGGAGGTCAAAGTTCAAAGTGGGCAGGGAGCTTTGGATGAGTACGTTGATTATCTCTATGGGGGGAGGATGAAGATTTGGGATTTTCATTTTAGGGCTCATTCATTCCTTTACAGACAGGTTGGTTGGTCGGTCCGTTGGTCGCTAGTGTTGGTTAGCAATGAAAATAAAAAAAGAACAAACAACACTAATCTCAAAAAACAAGAATAAAAACGCCCAACAACAACAACACTAACTTCAAACTAGATACAAAACATGCTCTACCTACAAAAAGCAAATAACACGCAAACAGCAAACAATAATTCGCAAACAACTACAACAATTGTACATACAAACAAACATACAAACGGTCAATCACAACAAACACGCAAACAAACTAACAAATAATCACAACAAACAAACAAACAAATGAAAACAGGTTCGGAAAATGGTAGGAGCCATGGTAAGTGTTGGACTGAATCACATGACACTTGACCACCTAAAACAACTTCTAGACCCAACCTGCGATTTCCAAATCCGAAATAAAAATAATAATAAAAACAATAATTATATTAATAATGATAATAAAAACAATAATTGCAATGAAGATAGCTACTCATCATCCTCATTTGAAATTAGATCGACTAGCCAGTTTAATGGCAAACCATCGCAATCATCGTTAACATCACCACAATCATCATTACCGTCAACACAATCATCATTATCATCATCACAACAATCGCCATCACATTTACCGTTACAATCTTCATCACATTCACCATCTAGCCTCGTAAACCATCTAAAGGCGAATGATATCAATAATAATAACCATAATAATGACAATAATAATAATAACAAACCAATAAAAATAAATCAACCAATCGAGAAAGATCACTTGACATTTAAGCTTAAAGTGCCATCTTGTGCGTTGTTCCTCGTCAGAGTTCAATTCCCTGATTACATTTATAAGGAGAGATGACGAAATGTAATGAGAGTGATAATTATTTCTACTCATCATTGTTATATTCGTTAGTAACATTGTTCATTCGTTCGTCCCTCATGACTTAGAGATTTTTTATCTTGATTATTATCATGAATCACACTCAATCTCGTCATGCAATTATCGCTTCAAGTTACCAATTCTTATGTCTTGTATTTGACTGACGCACGTATATTTGAATGATGACACAAAACACACACACGTGTAACACAAACGTGCATGCATGCATGCATACATTATGCGTACAACATACATACAAACATACATTGGAATCGTTAGCAGATTTGTACATGCATGTACGTGAAACAAATACACAGTAGTATAAAAACACATTAAAAAGCATCAAAAACAACTCTACAAAATAATGATGTTTTAAAATGGTATATACATACACTAAACAGTACTTGTGTGTGTGTGTGTGTGTGTACACAGGCGCATTTCTGAGGTTCTTTATAAGAGGCGCTATACAAATCATCAAATACAAACATATTGCTCAGCAATTAACATGAGGTATAAATCATAACATTCAAATTTAACAATATTAATATATTTAAAATACATTTTGTGTGAGCTTTCTACCTACATGTTCACATGTTAAATAAAAACAATTTGTGTTTGTGTGTGTGTGTGTGTTTGTTTGTATGTGTGTCTTTGTGTGTAAATATAAAACATTTAACAACCACAACAGCAACCGAGTGGGATTGACAAACTTTTTAAGAAAATTAATAAGTAGAATGTAATACAACACCTAACTGTTCGGGCTTACAGTATACCAAAGGTAAGAAGATTAGATACGTCAATTCGAATTTTATATTTTAAAAAAATTAAAATTAAGTGAATCTAAAAAAAAATAAACAAATAATACCAGACAGGCAATGAAATTTGGAAAATTTAAAAATTAACCAAGCTTCAACAACGGAAATTTGTTCACGCACGTACAATAATCTCAACTAGCTAACAATAATATGCTTTGCCAATTCAACAACGAAATAAATAAATGAATAATACGCTAAATATAAGAAAATAATACACTAAATATAAATAAATAATATACTAAAGATACAAAATAATAAATAAACAATATACTAAATATCCAAACATTTTTTTAAAAAAAACTTGACTCTACAAAAGAAAATCATCCAATTTGTTTGGGAACCTGGTATGACAAAAATTCCTTCTCACCCTTACTCCCATACAACAGGAGGCCTCAGCTAATGGGGAAGGGGCTCCAGGGTACGATGACGAGTAGGCCCTATTGAGCTGGCTGTGTGGGTGGTTGTGGAGTTGGTAACCGAAGCCCTTGTGTAGGTGAATATTTATTATTATTATTTTAAAATTAATTAACAATAATTATTGATTAGAATTGATAATATATATTTACGTAATGATAATAATCATGATGTCGCATTCTTATTAAACACCAATATTTATAACATTGCAAAAAAAACTATATGCCAGGTGATAATACAGCGATGATTTCAATGATTTTTTAATATTATGTAATAAATTTTAAATTATAATAAAATATCAATAAATAATAATATAATGAAAGGCCACTGGAAACGTCTTCACTAACAATCCCCGAATGGTCTAGATGGACATAATCACTGACAGACCTTAGATCGACGGCAACACGACGCTCGACTGTGCATGGCCACTTAGTCTTATCATTGCTTTCTGTAAATGTAATAATTAATATAATTTTTAGAAATATGGAGTTATTATAAATATACAATTTTATTTCAAGTTCATATCTCTAAAAGCTTGAATTGTAATAAATTTTAATGAAAAAAACCTGAACCAATTTGATCCATTTCATATCCTGATCTGAATCTAGGAGGTGTAAAGTTGGTGTGAATTTGGTGACCTTTTGGCACCACAAGGTCAATTATTGGAGTACACATCCTAATGAACTTTGACCTACTGGCCACATATCCAACAACTGTGTTAACATCATTTTTGGAGTTGTTTCGATCATCAACCTTATTGTTGCCATCTTCATCACAGCAATCATCATCATATTTTAATTTGCTTTTGGGGATATTATTATTATTGCCACCATTTTTATCAAAGGAATAATCACTTTTATAATTTTTAGGATCATCATATTGGTGATGATGGAATGGATTAGTAAATGAGTCTGTACACTCTTCTTCTATGTTAATCTTGGAAGTGGAACTAGATGGTGCTAGAGTAGATGTTGTAGTCAATGCAGAAGCTCCTAATTCACTAACTGGGGCCACCCTAATTGCATTTTCTCCCTCGTCATCTCTTCCTTCTTCATCTAAATATCCTGATATGTTGCTGTAGTTGAAGACTTGTTGGTCAGTATTGGCCTGTGTTACACTGCTGCCTGGTGGGGAGAACAAGTCGGAACCTAGGCCACTATCTCTGTAGAATTGTATTACATAGGATTTATATTATATCACGGTACATAATTAAACTGATTTAAATTTAATTAAATAAAACTAAAAAACTAAAACTGCACTTTAGTAAAAACCAAAAAAAAAATCAACTCCCTAACCTCATGAAGGAAGTATTGATAGATGATGATGATGATTTGGGGATATTCAACTTATTGTCATTATTACTATTATGATTATCCATTGTTACTATTTTACTACTACTATTTTTACTAATTTGTTAGCTAATTAAATTATTAACAATTATATCTTTATTATATTTATTTTTATTACAATTAGTACTACTGACCCAATTTTTATTACTCACAATCTCCTTTAATCTCTCTTTCTGTTACGACAGTCGCAGACGACGATGGGGCCAACACAAACTGCGCCCTAATTATCATCAACCAGCAGGAGAATGAGAAAATAAAAAATTTGGCAAATCGATGAAGAATCGTATCACTTATTTTAAATAAAAATGTTTAATATCATTAAAAA